TTTCGCTTCTAGCTTGCAGATAACTTTTCTTCGCTTCTTCTACTTCATCTGATTCAAGAAAGAACACATGAACACCAGGAATATCCTTGTTAGATCTTCTTGCCGTTTCAAGTTGTTGTTTTTGTGTGAATTCGTAGAAGTCTTTTGCATTTGACATGAGAATATTCTTGGAAAGTGTAGCACGTCTAGCCGAGGACTTAAGTACTGTATCAATGCCGTCGCCGGCACCCTTTCCATGCCCTGTAGCTGTAAATGTCCAACAAGCATCCAAATCAAAGTCGATTTTGTGGTGAATTAGGTTCAAAATGCTGGCATTGTTTTTGAAATGCGCACACGCACCATCGCTAAATAAAAGGAAAGAGTTGACGTAATACATAAACTTCAAGAAAAGTGAAATTTACCTCACATAATTGATCTTCTTTACCAACGGAAAATTTGTCTTGATAAATTGAGTAAGAACCTTTTGTGCACAGTGCACAAACACCGTTGTGTGTTCCATATAATCACTGATGATCGCTAAATTTCGTTGTTCTTTTTCAATGGTCAGATGAATTGTAAATAAGGTGACTTGGTGCTGACTAAAAAATTCTTGTTGAACTTCATGCTGACGTACCAGTGTATAATTCATTGAAAAATCTATTTGAGCAACAACGAACGTTTTGTCCGTTGATTGGTAACGCAAGTCTTTGATATATTCACGTTGTTCACGATTAATATGTGTGTGAAGTAAGAATGACGGCCAGCTTTCTTCAATTTCCGTTATTAGAGCGTCAATTGAGTCAGACATCTGTTGACGGTCGAACTTATTATTAACTTTCTTCCACAAATTCCATGAGCATTCGTCTTCTAAATCCATTATGTTGTTATCTGTGAGAATACCCGTAATGCTTTTCGTTGGGTAATCATCACATTCATCATTAAAGCACTTTTCATTAGAGATAGTGCAGACCATTTGAGTGATCAGATCCTTCATATTGACCTTGTCATTAGTTGATAAAGAACCTACACTGACGCATTTTCGGTAGTAGTTGTTCCATCCCTGCAATAAAGCTACGTTACATTCGAATCAATATACAACTGGTACAAACCTTCAATAACAGATCCATGTTCTCATGGTTAATACACATACACGTGTCATGTGGTGTTGTGGTTTTTACTTTTCGTGGTCGAAGAGCATTAAAAGTTGATCTTGCAACAGCTCCAGGATGTCGTTCATCGAAGATGTGATAAGCATCCAAGACAGTCATTTCTAAAAACCGCACTGCCACTGGTTGCCCGTCGATTTTAATTGTGTCTTTGGAATTGGATGAGGTTCGACTGATGCCATTCTCACGATAGAATTTGGCCACAGCATCAATTGTCGAATCACATAAAGGACGATTATTTCCTCGTATACAATGTGGATAAAGTAATATTCCATTGTTTTATTGAAGAACGAGCGATCGTCGAGCCTGATTTGACTTTGAGTTGAACCTGATAAGTGAAAGAGGTTTTTTAGTAACATTTGATTAGAACTATACGTCGATATCAAACGAAAGGAGGATAAAATACGCATCATTTTTCAATTTTTTGTCGACCCCACTCTGTGGGAGCAATTGTCATCAAGCGAACTTGTTCATTAGCATCACTATCAGCATATAACTTTCTCAAACTACCCAAAAGTTCATTTGATTCACGTATCATGAGTCCGTGAGGATTTGGATCATGCAAAACTTGAGCCTTTCCATCCAATATATCACATAATCGATTAATTTTTCTATACACCTCATCGACTTTGGCTCGAATGGGCAGTACTGCTGATCTAAATACATTGTCGTTTCAGAAAATTTGAATTAAATTTTAAAATTAACCTGTCATGGATTGCATCTATGTCCAATAGTTCGAATATTTTTTGATAATTCTTCCATTGCTTTGTCTTTCTAGTGTTTGAGTTCATACAAAGCATGGCCTGTATCTTCTTCCATCGATTCGGGATCAGTTGATTCATCAGTGCATGGTGATTCATCATTGTCACTTGATTCAGCTATGATACCACTGTCCATATGAGGATTCTCTTTCTCTTCTTCATTCAGATCATCAAATTCCACACTGATAGCGTCATCATCAATTTTGCCATCATTGGCAGGAGAACCTTCTTTCGTGACTTCATCATCAGTTGAAATTTCATCGTTATTGAGCTCCGTTGATTGATGAGTCATCATTTTTTTCGATTCAAATACATGGCACATTGGACATAACCAGCAAATTCGGGTGTAAGTCACATCATATTGAGAAATCAAAAATTTTGATAATTGTGATGACACAACTACTACTCCTTTTGGCACACGTGTAGATTGTGCATGCTTTATCGGATGCTCACAAATTTTTCGTTTCGGCATTGGGGTAATTTTGAAAAAAAAGATAAGAATGGGCAATTGATATTTTCTAATATCCAATAATTCATCTCGTAATTTTACTCGTTTGAAATCACGATATTTGTGGATAATACTTTACGTTTACGGATGTCGTTATAGGGAAATGAAAAATCTATTATTTCGATGATAATGTTGTTAGCTCGTCGTGTTCGAGCTTTACGTTTATTTATCGAATCTAACCTTGTTTAACCCACACACATATGTATATATAGAGAGAGAGAGAAGAAAGAGAAGAGAGGGGGAGAATAACAATGACAATATGGGCATAACAAGGGAGAGATATGTAAAGACATCGAGAGGCAGAATTGAGGGTGAATCATATCCGCTAACAATCCTCCCCTCCCCATCAGATGTGTGTCCTCGCACATTAACCTTGAGTTCAATTAAATTGAAGAGTTGAATTTGTTTGATCATCATCGACTATTGATACCGATATACGTAGACGATATGCTGGATATGTTGTTGTGGCAAGTGTAAGATATTGTATACGACTTTCGTTTGCATTTATATTTTTTCTAATGATGTTGATTCACGATCAATTGACATTTAATGAAACTAAATTGTCGTTGTCGTTTAATACTTTCAAACTAATTTAAATTCAAGATTTTGTCGTAATAAATTTTTATAATGATAATTTTCTTTGAATATGTATCAAGTACTCATGATATATCATATTGTGTACCGATCAATGCACTTGGTATGTGTTCCTGACTAATAGACGTTGATAATTTGGATGTTGTATAATTTGCTTGATCTAAATTGATGAAGTCGAGGTGGTGTAAATTATTAAATTCATTTTCCACCGTTCCACAAGTGATGACTTCGTTGTTGTTGTTGAATATGGTGGACCAGAGTTCTCTAATTTTGGTGTATAGTGTTGTTTGTGGATTAGGTAAATGTGCTGTTTCAATTAATATAATTGTTGATGCATCGGTTGAGTGTAAGAATTGGATTTGTATAAGTGCATCATTGTTTATTTTCTTGCGTTCGGATTCGGTGTCCACTGTGTAACGGCTTGTTCGATTTGCTAATATGATGAGATCATTTATCGTGTCGATTGTTGATTTGTGGTGGATGTGAATGATGGTGATATTTGATGATGGCTTGAATGGTGGGTATTTGGCTTGAAGATCTTCGTTCTTGTTCATTTTCTTTGCTGTTTTCATCCAATTTTGTTGTTGTTTTTTATTTAAATTATAATAGTAATTCGGTGGGTTATTCGGGTCACGTTTTGCATACGACATGGTGATAGTTAGCTACAATAGAACTGATATGTGTTATTGTGAAATGCACTTAAAAATGAAATTCTTTGTCCGGTTAAATTTTTCTTTCCTTCCAAATAGATATATGCTTGGAACCGTTCAGACGTAAACTTTTTCTTTCCTGTACATGTCCTATATGACTCGAGTAATGTTTGTATATAAATTTTTCCTTTCCTTGATGCGGTAGACGTATATATCATGTTCTTGTATGGATAATAGTGAATTTTCCGATCAGTGCCACGTGCGTTTATCTTTACACCGAATAGTTTGGCCATCACTATTCAAGCGCGTCGATTAGCACGCGTTCTGATTGGATATTATTTACTATTAGTGTCATCTACTTTCACATCCTTCCCTCTCGGGATGTGTTTATTGAATTAAATTACATCGTTCGACTAATGGAACGATGACATCCATTGTCACTTGTTTTGTTAATGTTAATTTTTTTACATGTTGGACAATAAATGTTTTAATTCCTAATTGTTTAATAATTTTAAATGGACCTTCATATCGTATATCAAATTTATTTCTAATATTTCTTGTTTTTATTAAAACTAAATCATTTAATTTTAATGATAAATTTTGTCTATTCAAATCATATCGAGTTTTGTATTGCTGTTGATTTTTTATAATATTGTTTCGAGCTTCATTTACTAATTTTTCAAGATAAATTCTAATTTTTTCACCATGCTCTGGATCTTGTGTGAGCGAAATTATTTCCTTTTGTTGGTCGAATGGAAGAGTGGCTTGTCGTCCATGCATCATTTCAAATGGTGTTTGTTTTGTTGTTGCGTGTATTGATGTATTGTAATTAAATGTAACATATTGCAGTACTTCATCCCAATTTGTACGTCGTTCATTCCATAACGCTGCAATTTTACCATCCATTGTAGCATTAAATCATTCGATTTGTCCATTTGTTTGGGGATGATATACTGTAGAATATAAATGAGTGACCCCAAGGTGTTGAAATAAATTGTTCATAATTTGAGCAGTAAAATGAGTACCATTATCAGTTAAAATACATGTTGCAGTTCCATATTTTAATATGGCATCATTGATAAGAAATTTTACAGCCGTTGTTGCTGAACAATCCCGAACAGCTTTTGTAATTACAAATTTTGATAATATGTCTGTCAGCGATATAATATATCTATTTCCTTGTTTGGATGTTGGAGCTATTGGTCCATGAAAATCCATACTTAAAAATTTCCAAATTCCTTCTGGTGGTTTTATTGGTCTCAATGCTCCTGGTAATTTTTGACGGCGATGATTGTTTTGTGCACATGGCAAACATGAGTTTAAATGATTTCTAATATCAGTTATCATTGTTGGCCAATAATAACGTTCTTGAATTTTTCTTGTTGTTTTATCACGTCCAAAGTGAGCTCCATTACCGGGTGTGTCGTGATAAATTTTCAATATATCAGCACGTATTCGTCCGGCTGGAACAAATGGTACTGATGGAAGTGGCATTTGTTGTTTTCTAAATAGTATACCACTTTCAATAAAATAATTTTTCTTACTTCGAATATTCTTTTTTATGTCTTGTACTGTCTTGTCTTCCTCTTGCCATTGTTTTAAATCGTTCATGTCGAATGGAATAATTTTATTTGGATTTTCGTCCAGTGGGTCCGAGATTGATTCTTTATCAATCACTGCTTTCCCTTGTGGAATGTGCTCATTTATTTTTCCATTGGTTGTTGTGTTGGATGGTGCTATCGTTGTTTGTTGTTGTAATTTGGCTTGAGCTCGAGTAATTGCTGTTGTTATTTTTAATGGACTTAACTTGTCTAATGGTGGTAATGGTAAATCTGTTTGTGTGAATTTTGACTCATATTGAATTCTTTCGTCAATATCTTCTTCAGCTGCTTCAACTGGTGATCTTGAGAAATAATCTGTCATATTGTTTTTCTTCCCTTGAATATGTTTGACGTGTATTCTGTATTCAGCAAGTTTTAATCGCCACCGGTTGCATCGTTTATTTAATTGTTCTTTATTTGAAAAATTTACCAATGGTTCATGATCAGTTTCTAATTTAAATTCACATCCACGTAGATATTTGTCCCATTTTTCCACTGCTTGTACTATTGCAAAACATTCTTGTTCAATTGTTGGCCAATTGGTTTGAGTTTTTGTTAATTTCTTAGACATAAATGCTAATGGTCGATCTCCATCGGGAGTAACTTGTAGTAGTACGGCTCCAATGCCGTCCACGCAGGCATCTGTTTGTAATTTGAATGGCAATGCATCATCTGGTAAACCTAGAATGAGATCACTTGTTAATGTTTTTTATTTTATGAAATGCTTCTCTGGCTTCATCTGATAATTCGAATTTCGATCTCTTGTTTGTTTTCTGTTGGTTCAATGTTGTCGGTGAATATGCGTGTAACGGTGCAGCGATTGTTGAGAATTTTGGGATGAATTTTCGATAATATTCTGCTGCTTTGACGAATCTGAAAGCTTCTTCAGCTGATGTTGGTTCACGTGTTTCTGTTAGACCACGAATGTTGTCTGGATCTGGTTTAATAGTACCTGCTTTGATTACATGACCAAGAAATAATATTTCCGTTCGAGCTATTTCACATTTATCAACATTTTATTTAAAATTTGACTCATGTAATAATGCACATACTTCTTCAATATGTCGTATGTGTTCACTAAAATTTGTTGAATAAATAATAATATCATCGATGTAGGCAAGTACATGTTTCCATCGGTTTGGACCTAATATTTGATTAACAATACGTTGAAAAGTTGGTGGTCCATTTGTAAGTCCTTGTGGTAATACCTTGAATTGAAAATGTCCATCCCGAGTGGAGAATGCTGTTTTCGGTCGATCCGCTTTATCTAATGGTACTTGAAAGTATCCTGATTTGAAATCAAATTTAGTAAAGTGTGTTGCTTTTGTTAACTGATCATAAATATCATCAATTCTTGGTAGAGGAAATGCATCTTTTGTTGTAATTTGATTTAAACGACGATAATCTACACAAAATCTTGTTGTTCCATCTTTCTTTTTTACTAATACGACTGGTGATGACCACGGAGATGTCGAATGTTCAATAATACCATTTTTTAACAATTTATCTGTTTCTTTGTTTAATGTTTCTTGATCCTTGTTGGACTTTCTATATGGTGGAGTATGAATTGGACGATGTGTACCTGTGTCGATAGCATTTTTTAATGTTATATCAATTTTTGATGGTTCACTGATGTCAAATAATTTTCCATATTTCCATAGTATTTTTAAAATTTGTTCTCGTTGTTTTTCATCTCTAATATGTTCGATTAATTTATTGATTTGCTGTCTTATCTCTTCTGGATAACATTTGTTTCTGAGATGTTTAAACAAATCATTATTCGTTTCGAAATTTTGATGACACTCACGACATTGATGTTGTTTCTTATGTAATGCTGTAATCGAATTATTTTCGGTGTTAACCTCGTTCAATGTAATCGCTCCTTTCCCTTTCGGAATGGGCCCCGTACACGCTTTTCCGTTTGGAATGCGTTCTTTTAAATTATCTGATGATACGGTAACGCCGATTGTAGCAGATATTTGTGTCGCTATGCCTAATTTTGTTCCTCTGGAAAGTGTTTGTTGTCGATTCGTTGCATTGATTATATTGATTTTCATTCTTCTATTTTCAATATTGCATAATGCATTTGCCAAAAATAATGCTTTGTTTTTTAATCGAGGACTTGGTTCAAATAGTACATCCATCATTTTGTTTTGTTGAATTCTTGCTTCTACAAGATATTCTGAAAAAGGAAGAAGAGTAATTTGACTAACGAGAGTAACTGGGTAATTCAAAAGTGTTGGGTTTACAAACGGGGTTGATACTTCTTTACCTTGCCTTCTGATCATATTTCTTTTTTCTGGTGTTAAAATATAAACATTATTGGGTTGAATCCAATCATTTCCTAATATTAAGTCTGTAACTAGATTTGTTGCTACATCAGCAGTAACTTTTGTTTTTAATCCATTGATGTTGATTTCTAATTGTAATTCACCAATAATATTTAATGTTGAACAGTTTGCTGATAGATGTTGTATTGTTTTTCTTATTAATGTTTTGTATGGAATGATGTTTAATAGATTTTCATGTATAATAGTGATGGCCGATCCAGTATCGATAAGTGCTACTTGTGGAGTATTATTGCATAAAATTTTAACGAAAATAGGATTAAATGTGTTGTTGGTGATGACGTTTTTTCTCCACAGGGATCGTCGCCATCTTCCGACCCCCTTATTCGAAAAAATGTTGTTCAGGACAATCACGTATTCGATGATTTGATTGTCCACATTTAAAACAGCCATTGTTCTTCTTATAAAAACAGTTCATGGTCGAGTGGTTTTTTCGATTGCAGATTAAGCATGACTCTGATCGGTGCATTTTTGTTTCTGGATAGGATAGTCGACTTGATCTGATAGTTGGATGTTGAATTTGTTTTTCATTCATACGATTATTATTAAATTTTGATGTGTGCTGATGTTGTTGCTGATAATAATGATGTGGTGTAATTGGTTGTTGACCTAATGGTTTGGCATTCAATAATCTTGATTGAATTGTTGCTGTTTGCAGCATAGGTTCAAAGAATGGTTGGTTTGTTGTTTCAGAATAAAAATTATTACGTTGTTGTTGAATATTGCAACCATTCATCTGGTTTCGTGATACCTTTTTCATTTCGAATTAAATATTCCTTTAATGAATTTTTTACACCAGTTTGTAAAACTGTAATAACTTGTTGTTCGGTTATGCATTGTCGAGCTTTTCTGTATTTCCGAATAACATGTTCGTAAAATGATGTTACCGATTGATTTTCTTCTTGATGAATGTGAATGAATTCTTGCAGTAATTGACTGTCAGGTGTAAATTCTTTGAACCGGTCGCGTAATGCATTTTCAGCATCGTTCCAATTAATGAATGATCTTAAATTTTCTTGATACCATCTTAATGCAGGTCCTGCTAATTTACCCATCGTTTCCAGAATCCTTGTTTCATCTTTTAATCTCATTAATGAAAATAAATTGTTTAAATCGTACAACCATTCATCTATGTCAATTTCATTAGATTCTCCTGAAAATTCAGCTATCTTCTTAATTGCTTCTTTTTGACTTGAATGAAGTTGACGAGTTTCCATTGAATTACTTTCAATTTCTTGCATAAGTGACATGTCGTTGGTTTTTTTATTTCTTATTCTTGTTGGTGAATTTGTAATTATTTCATATGGTAAAAGATTCGCACCACTTTGCTTGATCGTGTTTCTAGTACCGGTCGCCGTTGTGAAAAAAAAATGCACTTAGAAGAAGGACAAAAAATTTTGACCTATATATGTGGAAGATACGTATATCTTCTACTAATAAATAAATTTTCTTCTTAAAGATAATACTTATCCTTTCTGTCTCTTTTCCAATATAAAGATGAGATTGTAAATCACTCTTTCCGTTACGGATGAGTCAGTTTTAATTATTAACTGGTTCTTCTTCGTTGGAGGAACTAGAAGAAGACCGGTCACGGCACCAATGTTAGCTCGTCGTGTTCGAGCTTTACGTTTTATTTATCTCTTCTCTTTCACACACGCATATGTATATATATATATATAAAGCGAAGAAAAAGAAGAGAGGGGAGAGAATAACAATGATAAAGACGGGGAGAGGAAAAGGAGAGATACATTAGATACTGGAGAAGTGTAATCGAGGGGCCAGTGGTATCATCCACCGTTAACAAAAGGCAATACACATATTTTCATAACTCTCATCATGTATTTAGTAAATAGACATGGCGATTTAAACAAAACTTGTTTCTTATGATACTTTTTCAAAACTATTCATATATCATCATAAATGTTAGTTGATACTTTTCAAAGGTAGTCTTAAGATACGATTATTAACCACAAAACAGTCACCGTGTATTGTCTCTTCATATTTTCTTCACGTGTGTACATGTTCTTGTAACGAAGAGAAAACAGTGGTAACATTAAGAAAGAGACAATGTATAATATTTTCTTCGAGAAAAGTGCTCAATATTCACAATTAAGAATTCAACTTACAGAGCAAGTCTAGGTTATTTTTCTTTTTCGAAAATGGCTATCACGGTATAAGAACTCAAGAATTTAAGATAAAATTTGTGCCTCTTTCTGTTAATGATCACATTGTTTTTGATTGATTGAATAAACATTAACAGATGAAAAATTTTTCGTTACTGCATAAGAAATAAAAATATACGTTGAAACATTTATGTCAATCTATTTTTGAGTCGTTTTTTTAGGAATTGAAACTCTGATTCTTACCCTGCCTACTAAAGAAAAATTTCGAAAGCAAGATCTCTTTTTGTTGGAATGTACTCTGCTACTATAGAAAGTTTTATAAAATTGTTAAATGTATTCTTTAATTTAATCCCAATCATGAAATGAAAGTATTTTTTCTTATATGATAAACATCTCTTTTGATCAAGATTATCATCTTATGCATAATCGTGTGTGCATGCTAAATCAAGCACATGTTTCTGTTTTTTTCTCTATTCGATTCTGTATCAAAGATTGATTGACAGCAATCGTTGACATCAATAGAAAAAAAAGACAAATCAAGCAAATAACCTGTATCATTTAGAGATTTTGTTTTCTAATCGTTTTGGGAAAGAAGAATTGGGTCTTTTTCAGTCACAAAAAATTAATTAAAAAAAATTCAAAATTTATATGTTGATTGAAATTACAGATATTAGCATTAAAATGAAAATCTTTCAAACATTAATATTTCTATATAGTTGATTTTGACTTTTATTTCCTTATTCAAAAGAATTTATTTATAGTTATTAATATAATTTGCTTTGTCATAAAAACTGTGACATCATTATGACCATCATTTCAACAAGATTTAGTTTTTTTCTATTTCTCTGTGAGCTGTATACATAATGTATGAACACATCCAATTGTACACATATGAATCATAGCCATGAAAACTAAAGCATTGAAGACTATCAATGACGTGGATAGTCTTACTTGAGAATAAGTTACAAAAGTGGAAGGCGATATCGTCTTTAAAAACCAATTTGATTGTAATGAATATTCATTTACAGATGCTTGGGAATCATATGCAATTTGGCATCAACACTTCGCTCCATTTCAGTTTCATCAGCTACGAGCAAGCATAATTTGCAAAATCGATGGAATTTTGAAAGAATAAAGATATAAAGTGAATTACTGATCGCTAGCCTTTATGCGAAGCTAAAAAAGACAAGTTTATTTTTTTCTCTGATAAGATATTAGTTTCTCTTGAATGAAAGTTAAAAAGATTTTCCCCATTTAATAGAGAAATTGATTCTTTTTTTTTAAATTATGATTTACAATCAGATTTTGACTTGACTCATCCTTGAATTTTTTAATATCCAGAGATTGCAATGAATAAATAAACGAGATAGAAATAACAACATGATTTTATTTGAGTATTTGTCTTGTTTTCATATACATCTCATTTGAAAATATATCTTGTAATTCAACAAAAGTCTCGCTACACACTTTCTTTCAACGTAAGTCAAAAAATATATGGATATATGAGAATAAAGAATGGAAAGTAATTCTATTGGCTAATATATTAACCAAGATAGAGACAGTCGCAGCAAAATCAGTTGTGAATGTTCTTGCTCACTCAAATAATCGATATAAACTTTTTTTTTCTCTTGGATAAGAAACAACTCTACCGAGGTATGAAGGCAGTTATCATCGACTATATAGCAAGTCAATGAAACACAATAGCATCTTTGAAGATTTGATTTAGCTACAACGACAATATATTTAGATGCAATTACTACTACCCAGGTCGAGCAATCCGACAGTAGGCACCTATCGGAACTCATCCGATCCGGCTGGAATCCAATAGAATTTTATCGGATCCTGTCAGATCTTACAGAATTATCGCTGGATTCCGGGTCGAGGAGTCGATGTCGGATTCCTATAAATTCCAACAAAAAACCGTTGGATGTCATCGGAAGTTCATAGGATTCCGACACTGAGGATCCGACATCGATTCCTCGACCCGGAAACCGATAGAATTGTATCGGATTGTAGGATATTTCCAGGTTCCTATCGGATCCGATGTCGGATCAGTCGACCTGGGTATATCTATCGAGTTCATCAACTGTTTTACGATAAGAAACAGTATGCTAGTGTGTTCAACAGCGTACATATTTACGCAACTACTTAAATAAGAAAAAAAAAATCATTGAAAAACAGAATAGAACACAAATACAACTTGGCATAATAATGCCTTACGTATTACCGACTAAAATAAAAAGTGGATACTGAAAACTGAAACGGGAAATTTTCTGTATTATGTTTTGAAATTTTTTTCAGCAGTACTATCGCTGAGAATAATTCTAATTTTCTTTGTAATATTATTTTTCGAACAATTTGTAAATTAAGATGCATGCTTATTGAATAATTTAAAGATTCAAATATTCACCATGTAATCAATCATTTTCTCAGAGAGAACCAGCTCAATATTTGTGATAGCCTTTTATTATGATTGTAGGGCATTTTTCTATGTATTCGCTCTTTTTGAAGAGTTTTTGAAAGAAAAATGAAGATGTTCTCCATCACGATTGACCTTACTTGTGCTTTTTTTAAAATTCTTGGCTACGTCTTATATTAACAATATTATATGTGTAATATACAGCACCTGTCCCTATTGAAAACAGCTTTTCGCACCCTTTGAGAGTTTTCTTTATTTTTCAAAACTTTTGCATAAAAGAATATACATAGTTTAATAATTTTAAGTAGTGGAATATTTCGTGAATCGAATGATTGAATTTATCCGTATTAGTAACATGGTGATAAGAACAGACGGTCGAGAATACGTAAAAAAAAAATTTTCTTTAACAAATGAATATTTTTACTATCTTAACTTGAATTTTTTATTCTTTCGTGACAAAAGTTGTTATTTTTCAGAGATGGAAGATTAATTTCAAAGTTGAGAGATTTTCGTCTAATATAATAAAAAAGATAAGAAATAGTATGCCTGTCGTTTTTACGAACACTGCTCTTAATTCAAACAGTCAGCAGCAAATGTTCCTAATAGTAACACTACATGTAAAATCAATACTATAATATATATTTTTAATAAATAAGCATTTTCTATATCTCAACTGGAAAATTTCGATGTAGTTCTTTTACAGAAAATCTTTCTTAATCAATGTTAGATTAATTTCTAGCAGTTCGAAACAAACAAGTTGTTCCTTTCATATCTCTAACATCAATTAAAAATGATAAAATTATTGTTAAATTATAAATATTGCTATTGAATCAGTATTTAAAATTCATGAAAAAATGTAAGATATTCTGTTGAATCTATAACTAATTCCTCGAGAAATTAATTTCTGGAATCATAAAAATCGCTCCCCAACAATTTCAATCTTTTATCCCAACGGAAAGTATATTTCATATAAATTCATCAAGAATAACGATTACTTTTACAGAATAGAAAGAAGTTAATTGAAATAAATAAATCGAAACGACAGCGAAGAAATCGCTTCTGACATAAGGCAGCTTGACTTTTTTCCACGTACATATAACTATTAGAGAGTATATCGAATTTTCAAATAAAACTAAATTTCACAAGCTCAAGATTCAAATCAGGAATTAACATTTGAAACAATTTAATTTTTATGTTGGTTACGGATAAACAGCACATATTTCTAGGTTTTTCAATAAACTGTATTATGCTTTCGGGAATTCAATTTTTAATTTTTCTGCAGTCGAATTCGTCAGATCAACATAAAAAAGTGACGGACAAAAGTGTTATGAATCATCGGAACGTTGTATAATTTTGTTGAGCATCATATTTGGAAAAAAATTGTTTATCGAATTATAGAAAATGTATACGTTAGTAAATCCATCATTCTGTCAGTTTGAGACTCAGACGACTTAAACTGAACATCAATAATAGTCAATTGGATATAGATTGTTTTAGTTAGGTCGAATTCCAGGATAGTGATATCGTGATTCATGATATCAGTTAAACCGCATATGATGTGAATGATATCGTTTTTTCTCACTAGAATGTCAATTGAAAAATAATTCATCACGTTTGAATAAACAAAAAGGTTATAGCTTTATAAACCAAATCATTTTATTTTTTTATTACTGGAAAAAACGTATTGCCGATGAACTTAATGTAAAGCATGAGATTGCTCGGGACAATTTATTGGAATTGTATGAGCGATTTTTACGATGAAAGAAACTACATTTTAAAGCTGCTGAATGTTAATTCAGCAGAATAACATACATTTTTCGTTAATTTTGAATTCTGATTCAATAACGATATTTATAATTCAAAATAATTTTACCATTTTTAATTAATGGTACAGATATGAAAGGAAGAACTCGTTTATTTCGCACCGCTAGAAATAAATCTAACATTGATTAAGAAAGATTTTCTGTAAAAGAACTACATCGAAATTTTCCAGTTGAGATATAGAAAATGCTTATGTATTAGAAAAAAATTATTTCTAATATATTTTACATGATTTGTTCTTATCACGCACACTGCTACTAATAAGGATAAATTCAATTATTCTCAAACTATCACTAATTACTTACTTGTTTTCCGAAATAATTGAACAATTTTTATACTATTCAATTCACGAAACATTTCACTACGGAAAAATATAAAATTATGTCTATCTTTCTATGTAAAAGTTTTGAAAAAAAAACTCTTTAAACATGTGAGAACTGTTGTTAATAGGGACAGGTGCTGTATGTCACATTTTTCTATTCATCAGACTTAAATATATTGAATAATCGACTAGTTCTATTCGAAGGGCATTTGAATATGACAGTGAAATCAGGCATATTTCTTTTTGCTTATTATTAATATTCCTACTTGCATGTCTATGCACTTACTTGAATATTTAGTTTTCGATTTAGTAATCTTGCAAGGACAACTAGTTGACTTGTATTATTAAAAAGCTATCTAGCTATTTTTTCAACACAAATTGCTACATTTTAAGTGTTTTGAATTCAGATGATTCTAAAATCTCAAAGAATCAATTAATAGTCTCTGTATGTAACTCAGTTTAAAACTTAACCCCATAATTTTTTGCTTTTTATATGCGTAATAGAATGCATTTATTTATAAAGATGTATGCGAGAGGTAATGTGATTATCATTAATAGACAACGATCATGCCTTAACATAAGAACTATCGGCGTCTCAAAATTTCAAACCCATTTGGCTCAATATTTTTAATTCTGATAGCTGTCTTTTAAAATTATTCTTCAATATATAAGCATACGTGGGAGTAGATTAACCAATGATGAAACTATCCATAGAATCTATAGTAGATAAATAATCGGAGAATGATCCATTACTTCCTATTATTTCAATAAAGCATATGAAATAATAAATTTTAATTAATCATTTTTTGACTTTACAATGCATTTCAATGGATTAATCAAAATATTGTCTAAATTAAAGATAACTCGTTATAATTCAATATATTATTGAAATTGATTTAGATATTTTGAATAATAAATTATTATTGAATCCATTGTAATATCCATTATTTCGAAAAAAGGACATATTGGAGTAGCCTTTGGAAGACAACAAATTTGTTCTGAGAGTCATATAGTTGAATCTTGAATACTTCGAGTTCTTTTTGACTTTACATTTTTGAAAAATCAGCTAGTTGCCTCTAAAAGTTAATTTAACTTATAAAAAGACTTATCAATGAAGATTAAAATATTTAAAATATATTTTGAGTGACTATTCTAGCATTTGTACTGTTTCAGAGAAGATATTCAGCATGAATTTTTTTGATTTTTTTCGATTCTGAATCTATTTCTTTATTTAGACCCATACTACCGTATTTGAAGGCAAATATATATCACTATTGGTCTCAACATATGTCTTATATAGTGTCGCGAAAAGAATAGTTCGTTCATGTTTGATACTCTGTGAATACTCGTATTATCACTCAGCTGTTCCTCGAAATTTCATTTAGATATTCTGTTCAGTAATTTTATCATTTATTAGTTCAAACGACTTATGTTGTGTGTGTGATGTAGTAAGCGTTCGTGGTAACTCATTTTGATCTTGTCTCTTTCACATCTATTCTATTATGCTTATTGCGGTTTCAAACGAATTCTTGTCGAATCATTCATTTATCATGTCTTTACGTGTTTTTGCTCGATTCCTACAAACAGATTTATAAGAAGTGATGAATATACAAAATAACTCAGTAAACTAGAAGATAATTTTCAAGTAATTTTCCTTCAAGGACTCCTTTTCTTTCTAATAAAATATTTTTTACCTCCAACAATCAATTTTTCTTCAGTATTGCCATATAAATCATGAGAATGCTTAAGTCAGAGTATTTACTTAATATTTAAGCAGAGTTATTATACAACTTGAAAAAATGAAAAAGGTTTTTGTTCTGATGAATATCAGGAAATAGTATCGATAAAATTAACATTTATTGATGTTTTGCTGATCAAAGAATTGATCGTTACCAATAATTTCTTGTGATTGACGTTTTTTACGACGGCAATAACAGCAGCCGATGCAAGAAATAAATATGACGCATATAAAAACGAGAAACATAACATCAGTTAAAAATGTTGAATGGAAACTTCGACAGTTTCCATTGTAGCGTTGCTGTGATTCGTCAAAATAGACGATATTGCCGTCTCCAATAATTGAAATCTCGCTTTGAGAGCAATTTCTTTGCATCTTAAAAGAAAAGAAAAACTTCCTTTTGTAAATAACAATGTTGAATTGTCTCCTTCTAATCGTTAGGGTGATGTCATGCACAAAAATGTAGGTAACAATATGAGAAAAATCCATGAGAATCATACCCTTCCAATAGAATGCCAATCTGTTTTTACCCGAACGTCTTTTTACATAGAATGATAAGCGATTTCGTCGATGTAAAATTCTTGTCTATTCGATCGATTTCTTCTTTTTGTTCCTATTGTTTGACCTCTCATTGTTATTATTATTGTTTGACCTCTTGATTCGTTTTTGTTCTTTTCGCTATTTTCATGTTCTTTTTTTTATTAATTGCTCTCATTCTATATGTATCATATATAAAGAATAGAAAAAAACATTATCTGAACGGTTTCGTGATTTATTTGCTCAGATAGACACGTAATTAAATAAATTATGAACAATAGCTTAACATGGTTCATTCATAAAACACTATGAAGGATAATGTTGGCGATATCTAATATCAACTTGAATGACACAATGATGTTATCATTTATTTTGTAAGTGAATCTTAGTATCGTGATAATTAGATAAACACAGCTGAACAAGCAATATAAGCTTTTTTCACAACATATATTAGACAATCAAAATTATCCTTCATATTATTACTTTTCATAAGATTAAGTGGGATGTAAAATGAATGTTCAGTCAAAATTAGTTGCTTATAAGTAATACAGCACTTCCATCATGCATGACTTTCTAAGAGAACACGCTAGATTTGCAGCTTTTTAAAGATCTCCCAGTAGAAAAAGTAAAAATTAACGCGTGATATTGAATTTATTGGCAAAAAAACAAAGTTGAATGAATCAAAAATGAAAATTGATGAGAATACAAAAACAAAACGCACACTAGTGAAAAACAATATAGTATCAAATAGTGTTTCATATGTTTTGAATACCACGGTGAAATGTTGCAATTTTTATGGCTTCATCTCGAATCATTTTAGATAAAGTTGATCCTGCAGGTGATGGCATGAAAAGTGATGATATCTTTCGTCGAATACAACAGTAGATGAATAGAATACCAACCATTAATATAGTAGCACATACTATGTATGTTAACCTGCAAAATAGAAGAAAAGTATATAGCATATCGATAGAATAAAATAAGTTATAAATATTAAAAAAACACCAATCAATAGATGTAATAGGATTCCACTTGAAATCGCTTGATCAAGAGACGAAGAATCACCATTGCTTCATGTAGTAGATAGGACAAACCTTCTTCTTTTGTTTAAGGATTTCTTTTGAAAGGCACGCTAATAAAATAATATTTTCTTTTTATTTCAGATGTTTCATTTTTCTCTTTTGATCATTTTCAATTATCTCGAATAATTATTTGTTGAGCATGAAATATAATTTCGTGCAATATTTCGCGTTCCAGTTAGTATCTGTATGTTGTTGGCATCGATAAACTTATAAGCGTAAGAAAAGCCAATTGTGAGCTTTATCCATGAAGTGTATGACGAATCTGCATGTACTTGTTTTCTCAATCCACTTTTATGTTTCTTTTTGAATGTATAATGTTGTTTTTCTCTTTTCAGACTACTCTTTCTGCTAATTATAATCATTATAGTTTCTAATCATATAAGCGAAATTTATTCACAATAATTCGAGAAAAACTATGAATAAGCACACTATGAAGCTTAGTGCACATTATAATCATATTTTTATATTGAGAATAAAAAGCCTTAAAGGCTCGGTGTCCACAAAGGATCAGTGTAAATTTTAATTTAGTGTGTTTACCAGTTTTCTTGCATATGGGCAAGCCATTTGGCAGGAGCAATCACGGCATCTGTCCCACCTTCTAAAATTCTTCCAGCCTGATCACCAGCTTTACGAAGTAATGTTGTTTGTTGTTCTGGACTTGCTTCGTTACCATAAGTCACCTTGTTGTCAGTCCCACTGATTTGAGGATTTTTTTCAAGACCACCAAAATTGATTCTGAGAAGCTGTCGTTTAATAATAGAACGATGACTTGTGTTAAATTTGCTGGATAACATTGTAAGTAAAAGATAGAAGTAGTTTTGTGGTGAATTCTTTACAAACGCGTGAAAACGAAATAATAACAGAAAGCACTCGTCTTCGACTATTTATAGTCAAAAATTAAAGAAAGATAAGAGAATCAGTGGATCTCTTTTCACACATACTAAGAACAAAGGACACGATTGATCAATGACCATGATGAGCTTGTTCTTTTCATTTTCAGGTGGCAAATTAATACGTTGAAATGTATAATAATGGATCGATATTGTCGACCAATGGCATTGATATATCATTTGTTTTCGTCCTGATTACATCTCAGAATATTGTCACCGTTCGTTGATCATTTAATTGCCAATAAAATTTAAAGTTGAGTGTGAGTAGAATTAATGATATATCGATATTTACAAAATAAACGCTCACCTTCCTAAGAAGAGATCTCGAAACTTAAGCACGTGGAGTATTTTTAGTGAAATTGTGTTAGTTCAGAAAGTTCTTTACGTCTATGTGTGATGATAAATATTAACCATGCATGAATATATGAAAAAGATCAAATTCAAAATATTTTGTTCGTCAATATAGAATATCAATTATGTTAACATCTTCACGCTGGTTTAATTAGGATGTAGATTTTTTTTATCAATATAAATCATTTATGGTATACGAAAAAAATTGAAACAAATGATTGAACATAATCTGTCTCAATAGTATACAATTCTCTACAGTTAGTAAAATAGTACATGATATATTGAACGAATTCTCGTCAATTGGAAATCGATATAAAGTATAAAATAAATCAAACATCAAGTTAAATTAGCTAGAATCGTTCTTATAAAAGCATCGTTTGGAAAATAATTTGCAATAATACATTGTAATGATTTAAATTTTTTTAAAGGATTTATTTACATCGATTAATCCAAAAAATATTGCACAATAAAAGGATTGATTGACTTAGTCAAGTGATATAAATAAACGATAAAAAAATCTGTTGAACTACAAGATAAAGAAAAATGTGTAAGAACGTGAAAACAAAAGTTATTGCTGTGACGCAAAATGAAACCAAGAAATATTCAATTGAAGAATACATAACAATCAATCAACACATGCCTGTTAGATTGTGATCACTGACGATGTAATCAACTGACTAGCATCAACAATACTCTTATGTATTCATGAAAAGCATTAGCTTTTATTTCCATTAAATCACTTTGAAATTAATTATTATCTATTTGCATGTCATCCTAATATGAAACAGCTCATATAGGTATCATAAAATAGAGTTACTGATCGATTCAATTAATTTGAAATCTAAATACTGGAAATTTAGAGAAAACATTTAAATTTTACTATTAATAAATTTTTTCTAATGGTTGTAAACAGATGACGTTAAAGTTCATGATTTGATAAAGTTTTGTTTTTAATTGGAATTTTGTTTCACTTTGTAGGTACGTTCATTAGCCTTTACTAAACGTATGAACCATATGTTCTTACAGGTATTTTTAATTCCGCTGTAGGTCAGCTTTGGTATTAAAAAATGCTTAAAACTCACTTTAAAAAAGAGAAATATAAAAAAATATGACAGAAGTAGTTATTTCAAGCTGAGTTTTTCTGGAATTCATTCAAAAACAGTAACCTGTTTTGTTGATCTATTTGTTTTTCTTAGAAAAATACACCGCGAAAATTGAAATATCTAGAAGCACGTTTGCATCGCAAAGTGAAGTTTTCCAAATATTGTTTCAGAGAGGGTATTCCAATATAAAAAGGATTTTCGTTTAGAAATTTCACTTTCGAGAAGTAATTCAAAAGAGAATTCTAATTAAGATAATCGATCAAAAAAGTGATGAGTTAATTTTTTGAATTAGTCCATTTCATGATGAACCATCTTCAACATATAAGTGATCATCTTCAAGGAAAGAACATTTGTTGAAAGATTCATTCTTTGATCAAGATAACTGATTGATTTTTAATTAAGTTTTAAAAGACAGAAAACGATCAATCTCTTCGAGTAGGGTCGAACCGGAGTATAAATATCGTCGCTTTTTCTGTGGCATTACCAGTTGTCCTCGTTACACTTGTTCATCGCCACGATTGCCGTCAGTTCTTCATTTTCATCACCATTATTACCATCTCATACTACTGACCTTAACATCTCATAATCATAGCAAAACGTATTTAATTGAACGTAAGTCACTGATCCGTTGCGGACAGTGAGCCTTTTATGGCATTCACTTTTATTTAAATAATTGTACATGAAAAGAAAACGATCTTAGTGAGGGAATCGGAAATAGAACATGTAATAGATTCTCACTTAATCGAGAAATAATGCACAGAATTGCACAGCATGAATTCATTAGTTGTGATATCGAGACATATGGTTTAAGAACAGTCACTGTTCATGTCAAAAAGAACGGACGAAATAAATCAATTTTAGTCCCATTTAAATGATACGTCTTTAATCATGATGTCATAAAGACTATCTAATTCTTCGATAGTTTTTAGTGCTCTTTTATTATAATTAATTAGAGATATATAATTTCAACAGGTCAAAAGCCTTGCTTTTGTGAATTTTATATAATTCATTTTAATGAACGGAGCTTACATATGCAGAAAAATGTAACTATAAAAGTTCGACCCAACGCGCTAGAAAATTCATAATCAATATTAGCTGAATATTTTCAAAAGTAAACAGATCTTTTTAAGAAATAAAGTTTCTCCTCTGTGTAATAGAAAGTAATATAGGAAATCATTTATTTCAGAGAATGGAATGCCGACTAGTATTAAATAATCGTTCAAGGGTCGATATTCCGAATGATGTTCTTCGTGGTCAGCTTCAACAACAGTTGAAATACTATAAATTTCGTCGTGTACAAACGAAGGCTGGAAAAGCAGTATTCTATCTATTTTTCCGGAAGGAGGCGGAAACATATTACGCTCTTCGAACTGCAGCTTCAATGAACGATATCTCTCTTGTTCGATATCTTCATCCCAATTCTATCGCTGCTCCGCTACGTCGTCCTGATGATATTCCACCTTCCGAAATGCATTATCGTCCAGTACCGACGAAAACTATTGTTGATATGATTCGATATAATTATACAAGATATTTTGATCGATTTTTGAATAAGGTATGAGATAATTTTATTTGTTAATTGTAATTGTGACTTGAATCATTTAGGATATTTTCAAATTGTTCGTTCGTCGAGTATCCGAGCAAATTGCTGTTCAACGTTTGAAGATTCCCGAAGGTTATTTGTTTTAGTTAATGCAATAAAGAAAACTATTTACCTATTTCTGTTTTATAGTGCACGACCGAATATGTACGCTTCATCACTGGTGGTGGATGAATCAGGAATATGTAATTAACAACTCACAAAATGTGCAGAAGCTATTAGATATTTTCTTCAAATAATTGGTATCAAATTACGTATAATAGTGTGCATGTTTGTTCTCTGCATGCGAAAACTTCTGTCGTTGTGAATTTTTTTCTTGTTTCTTTTTTTTTATGTAAAATTGATGCAATTCTCTCGTGTTAGCTAATGAAAACATGTCGAATATTGAAATGATATTCATTGATTTTATGTGCACATTTCAAATATGTCTAATTTTTCTTTTAATTCTGCGGTATCAAATGATTGATTCAAAAGAACAGAGAATATAATCATTTTCTACTAAGAGCAATATATCACTTTAAAAAAAATTAATCTTTATTCGTCAAAAATATTTTATTCTGTATTAGATTATATGTAGACATAATTTACTCCTCAATCAGCGAAGCATGTGTATAATTTCTTTGATTCTTTTTCTATTCTACCGATCGCTGAAAATAAAAATAAAAATAAAACTTTTCCGACAAGAACCTCATAACAGTGAGTAGTTAACGATTGAGCGAACGAGATTAAGATGGATATTCATTTACAATATGACTGTCTGTTCTGACATACGAGAATGCAATATTTGTCAAAGAGTGAAACACTTCATCAGCGCTACAATGATTTCTTCATTAGGCGATTAATCTATTATTGAAAAAAATCACTAATGATACAAGCTATATATTTTCGATAATTAGCAATACATATTCCCAACATGCACACAGATGATATTCCATAAGCAATCATGGAAAAAAGAACACACGTTAAAACAATTAAGAGAATATTATGCCACTTCTTGTGTCAAATCGATTCAATATCCTGAGCAATAACAACGACATAGATTATAATTGATATAGAGAAGTAAATAAGAGAGAGACAGTGCTAAGAATCACTGATTCAATAAGAGAATAAAAGTTCGCGACGCTAAGAAAAAGAAAGATCAATACGAAGCATTATATAATATTCTTCAGGAGCATCATTGCATCAGAATGATGATGGTAAGTTATACTACGATCACTTTCTGATAAAAGACCGAAACCAATATCAAGGAGCAAATGACAGTATCACATCCAATGTAAAAAAAACAATGTAGATACAGAATTTATGATATATTCAACACATGTGACTATCGGAAAGAGAAAAAAAAAGAAAATAATCGAATAGTGTAGATAGTTATAAATATTGAGATGAATTCGTTTTAAAATGTTTAAATGAAAATTCGGGCTGCACTTTCTTTTCCAAGTAGACTAATATAATGTTTGATATCGAAAAGATATTATGTGGATGGTAAAAACGATTGAGTTTTCGTTTGTAGGACTGAAAAATAGTGTCTGATAATCTCAGAGGATAGTCGGTTTTGCATTTAGTGTAAAAATTGGAGGAAAAATTGTTTTTTGCGTGTAATTTTTTGTTCATTTATTTGAAAATAAATTTGTATTATAACATTGAAATTTGATCTGAATGAAAAAATGTTTTTAATGTTTTAGATTAAAAGATTGTAACTTTGCTGAAGAAATCAAATCGAAAAGATTATTTGTGAGTATAAAATGGGAGGTATATATGCAATCGCTAATTATTGATATTATTTTAGTTAAGTATGACTGATTATGATATGGAAATTCCTGAGCTCAATCCTGATATTGGTTTGCACCTCGTAAATTTTCTTAATGGAATTGACGCTTCTAATTTTCTGGAAGTTGTCAATAATTGCAGTCAATTTCTGTCTATTGCTACAGCATCGGATCGCTTGTTTATCGAAATAATGAAGAAGTTTGATGGTCGGACAAGAATTTTATTGCCTGCAGAAATTTATGGAAATTATTTACAAGATTGTGAAATACTGGATGATAAATTGGTTCCATTTGAAAATCACAACCCTTCTGTTATTCAACCTGTCCAACGTCTGTTTGTTCATCCATGCTTCAGCGTTGAAGGCTTTGGCGTATTGTGCAAAGCGTATCGAACACCGCTTTTCCAATATTACTCTCGAATTTTGCCTTTCAACACTGATCTATACTGTGCCGATTTTGGATTGATTGACTATCAGTTGTACAATGAAACAATAAGTTCTGAACGAGATTTAAATGTTTATGAGAAGAAATTTTTCAAAAGTAAGACATCTTCAATACTATTTCCAACTTCAAAATGTTTTATTATTAATTTGATTCAGCTAGCACATATTTTACCAAAGAAAATAACGACTTTGGTCCAATAAGCAATGCATTTGTGAACAACATCGACGATTTTCGATATAATCTCGCGACTCGCTTCTTCTCATTACAATGGCTGGAAACAATCGACTTTTCGAAGTTTGCAATTGTTGGCAGTTGTGTACTTAATTCATTATGTCGTTCGCCATTCGGCGATACCAAAAAACAAGATATTAACTTGATTTATCCAGCACGTAGTTGTCTTGATTTTGAAATGGCGGTGCTCAACGTTATCACCAAGCTGAAAAAAATGCAGCCAATGCATTTGAAACATGAAATTATAGTCGAAAAAATATCAGGATCTCTTCACTACTATATTTCATTGCCATGTGGTGTCAAGCTCAACTTTTATTACACGTCTGCTGAGAAATCGAAAAATCCACTTTCTCATGTTCTCCACAACTTTGATATGGATATTTGCCAAGTAGCATTCATTGGTACAGTTTCAGATTTTGTGAGGGAGGAGCGGCAACGACTTAGATCTTTAAAGCATTTCAAGTTTCGTGGCGTTTGCTCGAAATCTATGAAGTCTAATCAACCATTTAACTGTTGATGGGATTTGTTTGAAAGACTTCCTAAGTTCTGAAGTCAGCTATTTCTCCCGCAACACTCTAATTACTTGTAATTATAATAAACCTTTTTTTTAATTTCTAGGAGTTACAATCATGTCTACATTTGCGTTTTTGCAAGCCCTGGCAACGAAGTCATTTCTCGTCTATAGTCTACATGCTGAAAGTTCCAACAACGTCTGTACTCGTATTGCAAAGTACTGTGAACGAGGATTCACCTTATTGGAACCCATCAATTTTGATGGGGACTTTAAGATATTGATGAAGCAAGCTGTTGTTCCATTATATCGAATGGAAAGTCATGATTATATTGACGATGATGGTGAACTTCAAAGTGCCATTACAGAATATTGGCAACGCCCTGAACGCAACATCGATACATATCAAGTTCAGGAGGCTTTTCTGGCTGGTGTTTATCCACAAACTCTAGATAAACATAATTATATAAACGATAAAACAACAATACCACCGTTATAATACGAACCTATAAAAAAAACACTGTTATTGTCAACATTTTCTAAAATCATGTATAAATTGTGACACCATAGCACATTAAATATTAGCTGCTTCTCATGATACGCATAGACTGTCATAATGTGAATATATTCTGTTGTTTGTACTTTATATTAATCTTGAATCGAATAAAATTGGTGGATCTCTTCAATTGAATGATATAGCTGAAGAAATCTTGATTTATCTGAGGAATAAATAAAATGAGAAATCCTTAATGATACTATAATAAAAGAAAAATATGTTATTTGTAGATTTTATCAACGCATCCACTAATTTCTATAAAGAATAATTGTTCTAAAAAAATGTCGCATCTATCAGGTGAGTAATACAAAAAAAATTTGTTCCTTCTGGTTTTATCTCGAGGTTTGTCTTATTTTTTAGAAACAAAAATAAGTACTATCAACTCTGGAAACTCCATTGAGCCATCTACTCAAGATAAGGTATATTTTTTCTACACTATCATATGAAATCTATTTAATAAATGTCATAGGTAATACCTACAGTATCGACTCCAACAATGAAAAGAAGTGTTTCAGGTGAAATTGAAACGCATTCAAAAAAAAGAATGGTTCATCATGAAACTTCAAACCAAAAAGGTCGATTTATTGCAACAGTGCCACCACCAGTGACATGTGCCAGTACAGCTACAATGGTTGTCTCAAACAACACGAGCAGTAATGCAATACCAGAGATATCCGATGAAGAATTACTTGAAATGGCATTGATGTTCGAAAAACAACAACAACAATAATAATCCGTCAACATTAATGAAAAACATGAGACAATGAATAAAATAAAACACTAACCTTTGATGTGCTCTTGTAGTGTGTAGTTATTGTATTTCTTAGAAACCATAAAATTTAATATTATCATTCACGTTATTTATCGTGAACTGCTGTTTTTATGCATTGTCATTAATCTTTGTTTCTATTTGCAGATATATGGTTTTTTGAAAAGTTCAGATTAATTTGGTCGTTAATAGATTCTTGAATTCCGCATCTTTGTACGTACTTGGACGAAAATCATCGACATTTGTATATTGAAGACATCACTGTGGCACTTCAAATGGCTCAGTTACCAACATGTTCGATGTGCGGGTTGTGTGTAGATTACGCGACTGGCGAGCCAACAGTACTCTACTCATGTGGTCATCTTGAGCACAGCGATTGCTTTTTCAATCATCATCCGCATAATTTGATTTGTGTAACTTGTGGTGTGATATCATGTTTTCTTGTATTTAAATAGTCTTATTGTAATCATTTTAATTATAGTTTATGTCTATGAGGTTCATTGAAAGCACGAAGTTTGTCGTATTTTATGCTCTGCTTCAATTAGAAATATATTAATTTCTATATTAGGCTATACGAGATGCTCTACGTAATATGAGAAGCTTTTCTTCAAAAGTTTCCGTTGAATGACAATGTGAACTTCAATACATGGGTATCGTTGGGAGTATGATTGAAGACATTATTGGGATCATTTTATACATCTGTACAAGTCGATGCATATCTTTTCGGAATTTAAAAGTTACATTATAAAAACATATCACAGTGCTAATATGTATTCTATCGTATATGATATTTGTATTTGTAATTACATGAGAGGTTATCCATTAGGAAATGATAATTGTTTCCTATTTTCAGATAATTCTTTTGACTCACACCATTTCGATTGTTATTCGTTTATTCATTCTCATTATTACATGTAATGGATTATTACGAACCGAAATCTTTACGAATCAAAAGAGACAGTGAAAATTGTAGTATCACTGTAGCCAATATAAAGTGTAAAGGTAAATATTATTGCTGTCTCAATATTGTTGTATAACCTTATTTTCATTTGTAGAAAAGATCAGTACGATTCATGATTTGTGTTCTGACGTTTGGGAACAAATTTTTGAGTATTTCAAAATCATCGAGCTATTCATGACGTTTGAATCTATTACAGTCACCGTTGATCAACTATTGTTTAGTGCAAATAACCGGTACTTTTTGCGGGGGCTTACACTCGATATTGACGTAGGAAATCTTCCAAAACAAATTCCACTCAATCGCATTGTTTCTCTCACACTTCACGAATCTTTTTGCATCAAAGTTATTGAAAACTGCTTAGAGCTTCGCTCATTAAAGCTAATTGGCGTAATTAAATGGGTTTCATGCACTATCAATAGTATTTCACGCGCAAACACGAAACTTAATCAAATTACTGTTGTTACTCCTACTATTAGATCTCTGACAGAATTATTTACATCTATTTTATCTATTACCTCATTGCGTCGACTGGAAATTCTTACCGATGAAGTAGCAGAGAGTTTCAAATTCTGCATTTTACCTGCACCACTAAGTAAAATCGAACAATTTCTCTTAGACTCAGGTTCTACAATTAACTGGAATGACTTATCACAAATCCTACCTGATCTCAGTAGTATTCGCTTCTTGAGTGTCAATTTGATTGATCGCAACCAAAAGCTTATTCCTTCGTTCATCTTTCAGAACCTTCGTACTCTTAGTCTCGGACTACTAGAAGTATCGTTTAACTGGATTATTCAACTAGTGGCAACAACACCATGTCTCATTAAACTGAAACTAACTGGTCTTGTAGACGCCGACGGTTTTGTGGTTAATCAAAGGTGGATTCATCTATTTGAGTCGACACCGAGACTTCTGCGGATATTTGTTAATGTATCATTAGAGCAAAGTAAAGAACTCTATCACTGTGAAAAAATTCAAGCACCACTATGTGCTCTTAATCTGAATCTTGTATGCAATGGTGATGATAATGATTGCAACCTCTACTACGGAGAAGTAAACCGATGGTGGAATTTACGAGGAATGGTCATCAAGCAGTAAAGTTACGTATCATCAGTTAAAAGAATTAGGAAACGAAATTCTCAATGTATTACAACGGATTCTGATCGGAATTTATTATGCATTTGTTTTCTATTCATT